AGTTTCATTCCTTTAAGCTCTAAATGATCAAGTTTTACATCAACAATCAGTTTTAAAGGGGACCTATTTATGCTCCTTTTTACAACACAAGCAGAATAATAATGTCTCTCGAGTGTGTGTGTGTGTGTGTGTGTGTGTGGAGTTTGAGCTGAGAACAGCACACAGATAATGTTCTCCAGCTCTCTGAAACTGACCAAGCTTTGATCCGCCATTTAAGTGACTGTCGCTTTAAATGCAAATGAGATTGTGCTCTTTTCAGAAAAGGGCGGAGCTACGGACAGCTGTCAGTCTATGTCGCAGCTCATCTAAAACTCCACATCTATAATCCTCTGACATGATCTTCAGCAGCTCAAACACTCTAATGGCTAATGGACAGACGGCTGCTTCTCACTCAGGGCTGCTGGAGATGCTAATGAGTGAGACTAGTGGGCATGGCTTCCCCCCTCTGATGACATGTACAAAGGGAGAATGTCAACCAAAGCGTTTCATTCATGGAGTCTGATCATGAGAGGCTGGAGATATTCCAGTGCTGCTGATAATAGGTCCCCTTTAAAATATTAATCACAAAAGGCACTAAATAAATCAGCCATAAACGTTTGACTCCAACAGACATGTTCGAGACGCAGTGTCCGGCAGAACCACAGGAAGCTCTGAATATTGCACCAGGAAGTGGCCTCTGCTCAGACATCAAACAGGAAGTTTAACGAGAGCTTAAAAAGCGGCAGGAAGACGAGATGCTTGCAGGTTTTACAGCCGCTGAGTTTGTATGAGTGCAGAACACATTCACACGGACGCTCACAGTGTTGATCAGCGAACAGCAGCAGACCCCACCACACCGCCACATCATGAGCTTACTTACTGAGAGCGAAAGCTAAGATCTGATTGCATTGAGACGTTTACATTTGAACTGAGAATTAAACACAGTTTCCCATATGCTAATTTATTTTAGAACTGAATTAACATTACACGTAACTGTAATTTTATGCTAATTTTAGTAAATAAATACATTTTTGAAATGCATAGCATCCAAATAAAGAGGACTGTCATCCTTACTTCAGAAGATAAGGGTGTTTTCTTTTGAATTACAGTGGTTTGGCATAAAAAGGGCCTATAATTATACTAAAATAATATAAAAATTTGTTAAAAATCTGTTAACAATTAAGGGAAATTATATGCCTAACAATCTGTTTACTGTGACAAAAAAAAACTGTATTAATAATATTTTCAGCAACATCTGTTTTTTGCATTGAAAATATTCTAATGTCTTACAATAATATAAAAATAAATAATCAAAATGATATAAAATCTGTACATAATTAAGGGAAATTATATGTATATTGAATGATATATTTGTTTGATTTTTGTTTTATTACTAACCCAAACATTTTTCATTTTTCCTTCTGAAAATAAAGGAAATTATTTAATGAAAATATGGAAATAAAATAAGATAATGTGATGTTTTCTTTTGCATTACAGTAATTTAGTCTATTAAAATGTGCTAAATTGTAATGAAAAAAAAAATATTGCATTAAAAAAGTATTATAACCACATCTGATTTTTGTGGATTTATATATACTTGTACATAATTAAGGGAAATGATATGTATATTGAATTATATACTTGCTTCACTTTATCGTTTATTATTAAACCAAACATTTTACATTTTTCCTTCTGAAAAGTCATCTTATCTAATGAAAATATGAATATAAATGTAAGTCTTAAGTATAAAGTAAACAAGTCATGTCTTAAATAGGAGGTTTGAACACTTTAACAAAACCAAATTATCATTTTTAATAAAATGTTTTCATTATTACAATATTTTGCACTATAAAAAAGGAACATTTTGATGAGTAGTAATATCTTAATGCAGTCAAATATTTCTTATTAATTAAAAAGGCAGTACTATTTAATTCCCATTCCAGTGGATTTAGCCTGAACATTTTGGGGATTCTGAATTTACATTTATGACCCTTTTAACAAAACCAAATATAGATTAATTTTGCATAGTAAGTCCTAAGAATGATGTGAATATTCTCAATTCAATAAAATCTGAACTCTTTTACCCCGTTATTAATCAGGAGATTTGCTGTGTGTTTAATCTTCCCTCTCTGATCAGGAGGTGAGTGTGGCGGATGCAGAGCGTCTGTCAGAGCGGAGGATCACAACAGTTCACAAATTAGAATAACAGAGGAATGCTGTGGGCCAGCGGTCAGTGCTGCTGTTTCACACACACAGAGGTCAGATCCTCCTGCTCAGGACACGTGTGTGTGTGTGTGTGTGTGTGTGTGTGTGTGTGTTTACTGCAAGTGTGTGTGTGTGTGTCTGTGTGTGTGTCAGTATTTATGTATACTAGTGTGTGTGAGCATGAGTGTGTGTCTGTCTAAATATTCAGTTTGTACAGTAGAAACATCATTACAGCTATGGGAGTCCCCACCAGGATGCAAGAACAAGTCTGTGTGTGTGTGTGTACTAGTGAGTGTGTGTGTATGTATACTAGTGAGTGTCAGTGTATGTGTATGTATACTAGTGTGTGAATTGTGTATACTAGTGTGTGTGTATACTAGTGTGTGTGCGTATGTATACTAGTGAGTGTGTGTGTGTGTGTATGCCAGTGTGAGTGTGTGTGTGTATGTATACTAGTGTGTGTGAGCATGAGTGTGTGTCTGTCTAAATATTCAGTTTGTACAGTAGAAACATCATTACAGCTATGGGAGTCCCCACCAGGATGCAAGAACAAGTCTCTGTGTGTGTGTACTAGTGAGTGTGTGTGTGTATGTATACTAGTGAGTGTCAGTGTATGTGTATGTATACTAGTGTGTGAATTGTGTATACTAGTGTGTGTGTATACTAGTGTGTGTGCGTATGTATACTAGTGTGTGTGTGTGTGTGTGTGTGTGTATGCCAGTGTGAGTGTGTGTGTGTATGTATACTAGTGTGTGTGAGCATGAGTGTGTGTCTGTCTGAATATTCAGTTTGTACAGTAGAAACATCATTACAGCTATGGGAGTCCCCACCAGGATGCAAGAACAAGTCTCTCTGTGTGTGTACTAGTGAGTGTGTGTGTATGTGTATGTATACTAGTGTGTGAATTGTGTATACTAGTGTGTGTGTATACTAGTGTGTGTGCGTATGTATACTAGTGTGTGTGTGTGTGTGTGTGTGTGTGTGTGTGTATGCCAGTGTGAGTGTGTGTGTGTGTGTGTGTGTATTTTGATTCTGAAACTCGCGCGTGTCCAAATAGACACTCCCACACCATCCCACTTTTCTTCCTCCAACACTCCCCCTAAACAGAGCTGGACACGCCCACTTTTCTGACTTTTTCCAAAGTAGAGGTGTGAAAACACCCTGCTGA